AGTTCCCTTTGTATTATTTCTTCTTCTCTTCAGTTCTGCTATTCCTAGCCTTCTCCTCACGCCTTTCCACATGACTGCCAACTTTGCAATCCAAACCATTAGCAGCAATTTTGTGTAGCACTTGGCAAATGCCCTCACTTCCCTCTCCTTGCCTTGGCCAGGACTCCCTCCAACTGGCCAGGAAGGGGCACTAAAAAGGCAGCTAACTGGCACCTTGCCCTGTTCTTGTTTTTTTCCTCACTGTGGCTCTTTTCAAGGCAAGAAAAAACAAGCTTAAAAGACCTCAACTGGCCATTGTGTAGCAATGCAATTATGAAGAAGAAGGGAGGGCAGTGAGATATGGTGGCAGAGAGACAGGAGCCAAGCAAGGTAAGAATGGCCACCGATGGGAAATCTCCTGCCCCACTCCTCTACCGGAAATGCTGTAAAGCCATCTTTGCCATCAAATTGGCCCAGCTTTCCAGAAGCCCTACAGCATTGTTGGGGATGCAGGGGGTGCTGTTGGATTCCTATCAGGAGTACAGCCTCAGCATATGGGCTTCAGTCCACTTAGTCCTTTAGCACTTTCTTGTCTTAATCTGCTTTGCCTTGCTACCTCCCACACTTGGAATTCTCCCCCACTGCAATTATTTCTCTCCTTGCTCCTTTTAAAAAGCTTTTGGAAGCCTTCTCCTTCTCCTTCTCCTTCTCCTTCTCCTTCTCCTTCTCCTTCTCCTTCTCCTTCTCCTTCTCCTTTTCTGTTGGCTTTAACTCCTTTTCAGAACTCTAGGCTTTGACCAGTTGCCTTTCTATCCTTTTCTTCTTTTGTAGTGTCTCATTAGATTGTATTCCAGAAGGCATGTGCAATTGCTGCTGCCACCGCTAATGATGATAAAGCCTAACCATGTTCAGTTCAGGGAGGAAATTTCCATCAGTGATTAATGATGATGAGAAGCTGAATAAACTGATGTTGGAATACCAAGAAGTTCATATTTTCTGGCCAATTCTGTATCTACTAGGTAATCTGTTTGCAAATAATGTCTGTTGTGTCTACTACTCATTATCAAGATTTTATGTATTCTCTTTTCTCATTCTCAGAATACAAATCAAGCTAAAACAACTTTTTTTTGTTACTATTTAATTTTTTAAAGAAAACCTGCTGCCCTTCCTTTCTTTCAGGTGTTGAACCTCACTAGGCACTATATTCAGAGACACCAGCATTTTGTTGTGCCACTCATTGAGAAATACAGCCAGGAGTGGGTCTCTAGAGGGGATCCAATTTTTCGACCCACCTGGTGGCTCAGCCCCACAGAGCCAGCTGCCTTTACCATTGATGATCAGTTTCTCATAGGAGAGGAGGTAAGAGCTGAATTCTTCTCTAGCATGTTTTAGGTCAGCTCCGCAGGGCTGACTGACAATGTCTTTTGCACATGTATTAGAATACTGAAAATGTCAGCTCCTAAGGCTTCTGGAAATCTCTGTCCAATTAAGAAGAAAACACTGAGTGATTGCAGTAAAACTTCTGAAAATACTGTAAAAAAACTATAGTACAACAAGTCAGCAAAAAGTATTTATTAAGTCAGTCTTCCCCAACCTGATAGTCACTCCCATCAGAATTTCCAGCTAGCATTAATGACAACCATCAAATAACACTGACACATTTGGAGGGCACTTGGTTGAAGAAAAATGCAAAGACTTCTGCAATGATAGTTCTCTTTCATCAGCCTTGGGAATTAAACTACTAGAATGTCAATCAGTCAGTGGAAGTGAACCAGTGTGCATTACACGCTTGGGGCTATTTGTTAAAGAAGAAAGGGAGGAAAGAAGGAAGGACAATTAGGATTATTTTTTAAAGGCCTTTTGAAAAGCTGTCACAGTCAGAAGTGTGCCCTGTTTAGAACATTGGTCACAGACTACTGTGTTGGCTTCATTTTAAAGCAGATAATAGAAAAGGAAGGCAGGGAGAGAAAGTGAGAAAGAGATTGGAAAAAGGGCTTTGTTTGTTGTTGTTTTAAAACAACTTGACTTGAGAAGGACATGATAGAGGTTTAGAATTTTTTTGGTTAATGAAATATCAACAAGACAGAGATCTAATATATTTCCATACTGCCTCCCATACATATACTTTTCCAAGGAGTTTACAATAAATTAGATACACCTATAAAAACTGTATAAAACATTTTCGCTCGAGAGTTGGTGGGGAAAGGAAACATTATCCAACGTGCATGCAGGGAAGGCTTGGCTAAAGAGGTAGGTTTTCAAAAGGGACTTACAAGATGCAATGGCAAACGCATTCCAGGGTCTATATGCACCACCACAGAGAAAGCTGCTCGTGAGAAACTGCAAAATGCCCCTCTGCCAGAGTTGGCACATGCAGCTAGACTTATGATGATCGTAGTGATCGTAGTTATAGACCAGGTCTATAACAGCAAAGATGGGCTATTCCAGTCTCTAAGTTGTTCAGGTCCTCATATGGTTTAGGAACTAATCAGCAGCCAGTGCTTTCACAGAGACAGCGAAGAGCCCCACTTTGCAATCTGGCCACCGCACTCTGCACCAGATGCAGCTTTCGGGTAAAGATAGATACAGCACCTTAGAGTGATCAACTCATCCATTTTTTCTTGAAGGAAAGGACAGTGTAAATTTAAACTCTTTCCATCAGTCATCACGGATAAGTTCCAATGTCACTTCCTTAAACCAGAACAAGGAAGGAACTAACTTCTGTGTTAAGACTGATCTTCTAGAAATTGGGCTGAAGGTTGTTGGAATTAATCATTCTCATTCCCTGCTCTCCAAATTATATAAATTAAATATGGATTTATTTGTTGCAAAATCTATATTCTGAGTTAGTTTTATTGGCCATATAATATGCCCCTCTGATCAAACTTTTGTCTGGAGAAGCACACAAACCAGTGAAAACTTTCCTTCCCAGTACAATCCCTTTCTACCCACTACTTTATATTTATTGTTTATTGCTGAATTCCCATCATTGCCATACTTTGGACAGAGGATTCACTGGAATGATTGTAGTGATGTGACACTTTCCACAGTCCCAAAACAACCCAGCAACATTTGTTCACAGAAAAATTTAAAATGCCTCAGGAAAGCAACTACCTAAAGCACCAGATGTGAAAATGGAGCTTTGGTATGCAATATTTGGATGGGAACTGACATGGTCATGCTCCCTGCTCAAGATGGAGGCTCCTTAAAGAAGCCACATCTTTAGCTGTAGACAGATACAAGCACAGGATCCAACGCACCTTTCCAGTTTCTAGTCTGAATACTCCATATCTGATCCCATGGATAAGCTCCATGGGATTGGAGACCCAGCTGGTAAATAGTCAACTTCCTCCTGCCTCTTCTCCTAATCCCAAAAATCAGCTCTCAGGAGTTTGTGCAAAGCCTGGAGCGACTTTTGACAGATGATGAAATCTGCCAGTCTGTTAGAACTTGTTTCTTCCAGTCCCATTCCCATCCCAATTAAGAGAGTGATTGGTGGATGTTTTTCCACTGGCTGGTGACATTTGGTAGGAAGTGAAACTAAGGTGATAGGATCCACCCATCCCTTTTCTTAACTTGCCTTGTACACCGTAAATCAGGATACAACCATTTAGTCGGATAGGGATCAGCACAAGAGAAGTGAATGAAGTGGGTCCCCCATTTTGAGCTAAACAGTGTTGAAGGTGATTTACTAGTGCTTCGGATTTGATTCCAAAAAGTGTCTTGGAGTGTGAGCATAGCATTTTGTCTGCTAGTCTTTAAAGCAGCCATGTCATTCCCTAGGATTGCATTGCCCTCTGCAATTTCCTCATGACACGGGGAAAGCCAGAACTGCGTCAAGGAATTACAAGCCGGCGCTATGTTCATACCTCTTTACACTCCAAAGCACCTTTCTGAATCAAAGCCAAGGCATTGCACAGCTCTCTTGTCTACAGTATATATTTCTATGAGATATTTTGGACCATAATAATCCCAGCTATTTCAAATTTTGTTTGCCTAAATGATTAAGATAATTGTGTGCTGTATTAATGATATAATTAATTAGCATTAACAGGCATCTGGGAAGAGATGAGAGAATAATTAATTTTTAATTACCTCTTTACAGTTCAAATATAGCCAATATCATTAAATGTTGAAGCATTTTTTATTTTCTGATTATGATTAATCTAAAAAATATTAAATAATTGCAGCTGTATCAAGGCAACAAGACATTGATCTTTAATATATTTTGCTGAAATACTGCTATATGGCAGAATCTCCAGTGTTGTCTGTTAAGAAAATCTTTCATCATAGGATTACCATAACTATTGGATTTTTGCAGCCCAGATCTTGTAGCCTCTTTATCATTTTGGATTTGTTAAGCACCTGAAGTGCCGTGGTGTACAGTACAACTTTTTAAAATTTACGTTGTTGATTTAAGAAATCAGTGCCTCATGAGAAACTTTTAAATAACTATTTCTGCTCTAATTCTTTAAATCATCTGGTTGTTATTCATTAAAAGTAAGCAGAAGAGGCTTTTTTTCTCTCTCTGAATTCTTTCCCTTGAAACCACTACTTTATATAAAAGAGAAATTATCATATTATATACTCAAAATACAGCTTCGCATAGTAGAAACAACTAAATTACTATTATAAGCCTTAAATATTTTTATATATAAAGTGAAAAATTGGAATAACATTCCCAATATCTCCCAGATGTAGTATACTACCTTTTTTTTTAAAATCATTTTCTTTTCCAAATGGTTTAATGCAGTGTTTCTCAACCTTGGCAACTTTAAGATATGTGGACTTCAACTTCCAGAATTCTGAGAGTTGAAGTCCTCATATCTTAAGGTTATTAAGGTTGAGAAACATTGATTTAATGTATCACTCTAATAACCATTATTTATTTGTATTGATGTTATCAACTTCTTCTTGGCTTTGTTCATATTATAACCTTAAATTGAGTATTGTATTGTATTGTATTGTATTGTATTGTATTGTATTGTATTGTATTGTATTGTATTGATTTATTGATT